ATAGGCTTAGGCTATACCAATAGTGAGTTCCACTCCACGCAATTATGTTGCTACTTTCAGACTGTGTGCCCCGGTGGCCATTGCGAGCGCGCAGAATCTATTAATCCTGTCAGATATCTACATATTTCTCAAGGCAATAACATATTCCTGAAAAAGTTGTTTCAACAGGCCCATATTAACTCGTTACCGACACTGTCAGATATGTGCACAGATCGCACGAATGCTCAACCTAACATAACCTAGCTGAAGCTGACACGTAACAACTAACTCAATCATTAACAACTCTCGGTAAAACACAACAACAAGGAGAAATCGATGCAGGGCGAGCAACCTGCGTTGACCTTTCTTTCTTCGGAGATAATGCACTTTGTCACATTGTAACAATAGAAACGCCCCGGGGTTCGATCGTGACTTCTTTCATCTGTGAGATGAAGGTTTTTTTTATTTTGTCCGACGATCGACTGTTTTACGTAATTAGCAATACTGTATAAAAAACTAGTTGTTTTAAGTCATTTATAGTTTCAATCTAGTTTATCCAGTTTTGGTTAAAGTAATCATGCGCATGCCACACTAGGTATCTCGATCCGGTATATTCATTCTAAAGAACAAATCTTCCTACTCTCTCAGGTTTGGGCCCAACCCCCCCGCCGTCCTCCATTCTATCAGTGGGAATTACAATCAGGGTGGAACTAAAAATTCCGGAAGGGAAAAGAGGGGAGAAAATCCAGACTCACTGAAGCCACCCCTCGGATCCTCTCTCCACCCTCAACAACAATAACAATAACAATAACAATACAGTCTGGGTGATGTGTGTGCGGCAACGTCTGTCGCACATATGATAACATGAGACGATTCCATCCTTTCTCGCACATACGCGCCACAACAAATGACTACTCAGAATTACTTTTCACGTATCTTAACAATGAATCGTTCGTTCATCAGTGTGCATCTGGGCACGATTTTGCGTCACGCGCGCGGTTTTCCAGCCAACCGAGTTTTCTTTCCAGCGTCGCGCGACAGAACCCGACCCATCTTCCCTCTCCCTCCGCAACGCACGGCACTCTATACGCAAAGCGATAACATTTCCAAAAATTGAAATTCGACAAACACACGCCTACAGCTTTCTCTGGATTCCGATCGATACTCTCTGCAAAACATCATCTTCGCGAGTAAAAAAAAGAGGCAAGCAGACTGGTTGGTATCAGTACCAGACAGACATAGAGACATAGAGAGAGAGAGGATGGGGAGTATCGATTCGAGAGGATTAGACCGCACATCGTAGTTGCCCGCCTGCCTGCCTGTTTACCATCGTGTCTTTTTCCGCCCGCCAGCATTTCAATGTAACTGCGGGGAAAAGTGAAAGCGGGAAAGGGATGAGGGCGGAAGAAAGGAAGGAATTAAAGTGGCGAAACTCCGTCATAGAAACTCGACATAGTTTCCGATGAGAGAGAAGTCACAGACTCTCTCCAGTTACATCCACCATGGCATCGCGTTACACCAAGCACCGCGAGACTGCAGAATCACTCTGAAACCCTGCTCCCACGCAGT